CGCGGTTGAAACTGATCAGTTTCAGCAGCGGCTGACGCCAGTTCTGACTTACATACAGATTCAACTTAAGAACAAACCTACAGTCCCTATCTTGTACGTAACCCGGGGACTGCCTGTATTGTGTTCAGTTCTGGGCACCGCATTTCAAGAAAGATGTGGAGAAATTGGAGAGGGTCCAGAGAAGAGCAACGAGAATGATTAAAGGTCTGGAGAACATGACCTATGAGGGAAGGCTGAAGGAACTGGGTTTGTTTAGTTTAGAAAAGAGAAGATTGAGGGGGGACATGATAGCAGTTCTCAGATATCTACTAAAAGGGTGTCATGAGGAGGGAGAAAACTTGTTCATCTTGGCCTCTGAGGATAGAACAAGAAGCAATGGGCTTAAACTGCAGCAAGGGAGGTTTAGGTTGGACATTAGGAAAAAGTTCCTAACTGTCAGGGTGGTCAAGCACTAGAATAAATTGCCCAGGGAGGTTGTGGAATCTCCATCTTTGGAGATATTTAAGAGCTAAAAGGGTGTCATGAGGAGGGAGAAAACTTGTTCATCTTGGCCTCTGAGGATAGAACAAGAAGCAATGGGCTTAAACTGCAGCAAGGGAGGTTTAGGTTGGACATTAGGAAAAAGTTCCTAACTGTCAGGGTGGTCAAGCACTAGAATAAATTGCCCAGGGAGGTTGTGGAATCTCCATCTTTGGAGATATTTAAGAGTAGGTTAGATAAATGTCTATCAGGGATGGTCTAGACAATATTTGGTCCTGCCATGAGGGCAGGGGACTGGATTCGATGACCTCTCGAATCCAGAGAGGTCCCTTCCAGTTCTGCTGTTCTATGATTCTATGATAACAAAATGTATTTTGCACATAGATGGAAAAAATTAGAGGGAACACTGGTGGAGACAATGGATTACACCTCATCTGAAATCCACCCCAGAGTGAAGAACTCTCACCAGATGCTCTGCATTCCACTTCAGCTAAAACCACTGTGCAATGCCCGTCTGACTGATCAGCATATTGAATTACTGAATTGGTTGCTGATACCTATTAAATCCATATGGAATGCTTACGAGTTGCTGTTGAATCCTAGCTATTGTGCGCATTCAGTAGCCTGTCTTCTAAATGGAAACAAATTCTCTCCCACACACCCATTTCTGCACAAATACAAATAGCTCACATGAGGAATTAATGCCCCTACAACTTCACTTCAGACCATCTCCAGTCATCAATCCCTGTGTGGAACACACCATTGATTTTTTTATACAATGGAAGAAAACCGCCAAAAGCAATTATTTAATTACAGTGAACCAAAAGTGCCTGAAACCAAGCACTTTTTTTGTGCTCTGTAAATTTAAAAAATGGCAAATTTGATCCCTTCTCCACACACTCTGGTACAAAATATTTTAATAATAGTGTACCAGCCTGAGTCTGGAGGAAATGATAAAATAAATTGTAACCCTCAGCCTAATAAGGTCCTCCATTGGTGTTACTGCAGTGGTTCGGGGTCAGGTTCTCAAAAAGAGGACATTGGTGGAGAGGGAGGAAGGGGGAGCTGGAGGAGATTACAATGGAGTGGGAGACTGGCGGGATGTGTGTGTAGTGGGAGGGGAACCTATGGAGTTCAGGAGGGGGGTGTGCATACTGGGAAGGGAATCTGAGGGATGTGGGGGGTGTTTGTACTGTGAGGGGGATCTAGGAGGTGCAGAAGGAGTGTGTGTGTACTGGGAAGGGGACCTGGAGGGTACAGGGGGTATGTACTGGGATGGGGATCTGGGGAGTGCAGGAGGAATGTGTTTGTACTGGGAGATACAGGGGGTATCTGCAGCCTCATTCTTGAGGTAGGTGGCAGTGATGCTCCCTGTCACACAGACAGGGTGGTTGGCATAGACCTGGACCACAGGGACAGTCATCAGTCAGTTTCCCTGTGGAGCTCTCCCTCAACCCAAGTCTGTGGGCTGAGGCCTGAGTTGGGTGGCATCTAGCAGCTGCAAGGGACCAATCAGATGTGGATGCAGGGGAGGGACCAAGCAGGAAGTGGACCAAGCAGGGCTCTTTATGAGTTGTAACATCTACTCTGAAACCCTCCTCTAACCTCCCCCAAACATTTTCTATCATCTGAAAAATCCACCCAGAGGGCAGAAGATGCAAAAGAAGCAATGTCCAGGAAAACCCAGACATAGGGTAACCGTAGAAATATTGCTTTATTCTTTCCACCTCTGGCTCATGCTTGCAAAACGCAGCATATGATCATGTTTAAAAGGTGGCAAATACGTGCATCAGCTTCTGCAGAAAAAAGATATGCAAATAAGGAGTCCAAGAGAACACACATGGAACAAAGCAAGAACAAAAGTACAACTTGACAGCTCTTTGTGTGTTATCCTGTGACAATGCACTAAATAGGCTGGTCTTTACATTCAAAGTATAATATCTCTTTCGAAAATAAAACATTGTATTTTGATTTGGGTGTTTAAGAGTTTCATTTTAATTGTGTGCTGGGGGGCAATTATAGCAGAACTGAGATTCTTTCCTACAAAACAGCTTCTCTGTGTTGTTACCTCCCCACAGCTGAGTAGAATAATCTTAATATCTCTGTGTTGCCACTAGGAGCTGTGACCAGGCACACCTGCTCTCCATCAATCTCTGACTACTGGAATGGCCCCCTAAGTCTGCCGTGCATTGTGCCGTGCCCAGAATTTGTACCTGGCCAGACTCAGGATCAGAGAGCGGCAGAGTGATATAAAGCAGACTTTCTCTCCTGTGCTGCTCTGCAAAGTCCAGCCAGATCGGAGAATCTGGATCAAGACACAATATACCGTAAGCTTTGATTCTTTCTGCACAATGCCATATTTGGGCATATCATCAGCCTCCTGTGTTGGCCTCTTCCCAATGCATGTTGCTTTCATTAGTGAGTACTATCGCTATAAGCTCTGATTTCCATATAAAAGTCTCTCACGAACATGCTTTCTGTGGTGATTTACCTGCAGTTAGGATGGAGTTTCCAGCCTCTGTTTGTTGAAGGTACACATTCACAATTGATGAATGCGAGTCATAGTCTGAGTACTCTTGGATTCTTTGCATTCAGGAGTAACGCCTTGTACCATATCCAATGGGCTAGGAGATTCAATCCTGTCCTAGCTGAGGATGATCCACCCTCAGGTAGTCATGCATTTGTCATCCCCTTAGCTGGACTACAGCAATAAGAAATAACTAGGCATGAAGCCTTCAGCACTTGGAAACTTCTGGCTAGTATAGAAATTGCAGCACATCTCCTCAGCAACACAGGTTATCATGCACCCTTCAGGCCTGTCCTTTGCCCTCTACACTGACTTTCCATAGAATGTCAATGTCTCAGTCTTTGCTTTCAGGGTGCTGTGTGGTCTAGGGCAACAGTACCAGAAGCTCCACCCCTCTCCATGGCCCCACCCTCTGTTCCTCCTTTTCCCCCTGAGGCCCCACTCCCCAACCAGGCTGGAAGTCAGAGCTGGACTGTGGTAAGAGTGTCCCAGGTATCCTGTGTTGTTGTGGGTAGCTCCAGACGCTCTACCTGGGATGGGGAGGAAGGGTGCCCAAGAGCAGCCTCCACCATGTGAAGGATCCAGAGCTCTCCAGAACTTTAAGCACAGATACTATACTGATGAGCATGGTTGAGTTTGGCAATACAAGTTATTTTATATTTCTTTATTTAAGTCAAGCATAACGCTTAGGACTCAATTCTAACAGCGTGATTACAACTGACTGCAGGGCTGAGAGCAGCCACTGCCCCAGACACCACTCCATGTTCCAAAGACTGCACATTATCACTTCTGCCACTGACCTGCACTGGAGATGTGAGATCCCAAAGAGGGGCAGTTTAGTGACTAGTGAAACTGGGAGCAGTAGTCTATGGCTAACTGTATCAGAAAGAGGACAACAAACTGTAGGAAATTTGAAAAAGGGCAATAAATGATGAAAGGACTTGAGGGATTAATTTATAAAGAAGATTAAAAGAACTAAATATGCTTAGTTCCGTTTCTCTGATGACTCAGAGGGTAGGATAATGCCATAGAATCATGTGAAGGGTGTAAATTCTAGGACATGAGATGAATTGTTTAGGCTGATGTGAGGAGATAAGCAATAGTAAAGGAATTAAATTGATCAAAGGAAAATTTAGTTGGAACCATAGGAAAATGTTCCTAACATTGAATCACAATAGGGCATTTAATTCCCTCCTCAAGGAATTCATGGAAGTTCCATTTCTTGAGTCACTTTCAGCTAGCATAGTCAGATCCACCTTCTATAAAAGGAGATGGACGTCTAAATGACTGAATCAGAGGATAAAACAGTGTCTCTTAAGAGGTGCTACCACCTCGCTAAGAGGATGGAAACAAACTGCTCACGTCTCAGGAGGCATTATCCCTTTGAGTCATAATGACTCCGCAGTGATGTGCTACCAAAACTTTCCAATGGGTTCTCTCAAAAATGTACCATCTCAGTCACTGACACGTGACATTCCTTTGGTAATATGCACTTCACCCTTTCAAGCTGTAACCTGGCGCCTCTTGATCCACCAAATTTACTCTTCTCATGACCTCACCAAGGCTCTTCTTGGTGGCTTCCGGTTCCTCATGGTAGTAAGTTATGACAGGGGAATGGCTGATCCAAGTGGGGTCAGAATCCAGTGCAGTAGCAGAGCCTGTGTTCTCCTCCCCCACCCAAATGGTAGACATTATATGTAACTGCTGCTGCCTGAACTGTAGCTCTCACACCATGCCCAGATCACATCATCCCAGTCTAAAGTGTGAAAACACTAGCTGGGAGAGGTGGGCTCCAGTGTCAGACTCCCATGCAGTTCAGCGATAACATGGTCCCATCTCCCCTTGTCACTTTCTGCACATGGGGCTGGCCCTTTTAGGATTCCATAGGGTCCCTTGAGATGCAGGAATGGTGATCCCCTCCCAGCAGTTGTATACTGGATGAAAGCAGAGGACACAAAACTGTAACAAGCAGAGCTGGCCTTTCCATTTTCAGGTGTGTTGTAAAACAACTTTTGTGATTGTTCCCCTCCACCCTTCCCCCTGATCTTGTCGGCTTTTTTCCATGATCATCGCACCATTCGGTGCAGAGCTGGCCTCAGTATGGCAGAGAGAGTTAGTGAGATACATGTGGTATGTGTCAAAGGATGTAACTGACTACTTTTTACACACTCATGGCTCCCAGGCCATCTGCCTGCTGCAGATGTCAAGCCCACCTTCATATTGCTCTCGGTCTTAGCAACTGGTTAATAAGGCTTTGCTTTCAAAACTGCCTCTTTGAGGGACGGCACTTGAGCCTTTCCTTTATATAATGTGACAGAGCCAGACTAGGTGGCTGCAGTAGTATGGTCCAATTGGAGACTGGGAGGTGTGCGGTCATAAGCTCGCCAACATCTAAAGGACTCTCCCTCAGCCTACAGGGAGGATCCACTGAAACCTGGAATCCAAGGCTATGTCTAGACTACAACCCTCTTTCGACAGAGATGTAAATTAGACAGATTGAAATTGCAAATGAAGCCAGGATTTGAATTTCTCATGCTTCATTTGCATAACCGCATCACGGCATTCTTTCGAAAAACGCTATTTTGCAAGTGAAACCGCGGCCTAGACGTGATTCTTTCGAAAAGAAAAGCCTTTTTCAAAAGATCCTGTACTGTGCTGTAGTTTAGACGTACCCCAAATGATTATGGGGGACAAATAAAAAGAAAAACAGGGGCAAGTGTGAAGGTCAAAGGGCCAAAACAAGGGAACCAGATGGGGGTACTGAGCAGAGAGCCCCAGACTGCACCCACTGCTCCACAAAAGCATCAGGAGAGCCAACAGACACCACCCAGAGGGACTTTTCCCAGATGTGTGAGTGGATAGAGTAACAGAAAAAGGCCCTACAGTCACAGGCCCCTCCCTTAGCCACCTAAGCTCCCTGGTTTTATAGATGGCCATCTTGGTCATAACCAGGAGGGAGTTGATGAGGAGGTCCCATGACTTTGTGGGGCCATAGATGGGGTGTGTGTGAATCAACACGTGAGGGAGAAGTGCATCCAGAACCTCAACAAGAGGTTCTGAAGGAACTGAAAGAGGGGCTGTAGGCTGGTGCACTCAAGGTAGACATGCGCCAGAGTCTCTCTCATGCCACAGAAGGGGTAAATCACACCAAGTACACACCCCGTGCCCACTGCAGGAGTCTGGTAGAAGGTAAGGATACTGACCACTGGATGCACAGTTTTCTCATCCCTGAGTGACCAGGACTGAGGCTGCTCCAGAGCAATCAGGAATGTATTAGAACCAATTAAGTCAGGCAGACACAATAAGATACCGGGAGCCTATTAAGAACTTGCTAGATGCAATTAAGACATACAAGCTAATCAGAACACTTTCAGCCCATTAAGAACCAGCTAGGACTGATATAAAAGGCTCCTCTTCATGGAGGGTGGCAGGTGAGGAGCTGGGTGTAAAGTGGTGAGCTGTGGAAGAGAGCTGGGAGGATGAGTGTGATCAGGTACCAGGAGCAAGGTGCTTAGAGGGGCTGTTTGGGAAAATGGCCCAGGGCAGGGCTTTAGCTTTGGTAGTGAAGGAAAAACTACCTGTTGTTGCTGCCATTAGGGTCCCTGGGCTGGAATCCAGAGTAGAGGGCAGACCTGGCTTCCCTCAGATCCTCCCCACACCATCACAGAGACATTCCCTGAGACAGAAGACTGAGACCAAGGAGGGGTCTCAAACCAAGCACATTGACTGGCCTATGATGAAGGTGGCTCAGTAGGCCGTGACCCTTGCCTCCAGAAAGGGAGAGAGGCTACGTCGAGAGTCACAGTGAGCCTCTGAGGCATGCCCTAACCACCTACAAGTGCAGGACCTCTGAGGTAACACTGGAGCTTTGCCACTATAAGTACTTTTGAATGGCTGCTGGGGTTCTCTGTCCTGGTGCCTGAAGGCTGTTTTTAACATGAAACTCATGCAGACACCTTCATATCTCCTCTGGCTTTGCTGTCTGCTTGCTGGATATTGGCAAGAGCTTTTAAAAGGAGGAAAGCACAGAGTCATTGTGCCTCTATATGCTCTTCTGTCAAACGCCTCCTCTCCTCCTTCCTCGCATGGCTGTCAGTACTGCACCCCCATGTTGTGCTTGCTACTGTGCCAACACCTGCCATTTCCCCTAGATGAGTATGTACTGTCACGGCAAAGAATAAACAGTGTAGGCTGTGAGATGCTGCAGTCTGAACACTATGGGTTACACACATAATTAATAATAAAAAAATCAGCCCAAGAAGAGCAAAGTGGAGGTTCCATCCTTCTCTGCCAATCTGGAGTTTCTATGGGCTTTGAAACTCCACCTTTAACGCCGATATGCACACTTGTAAAAGTGCTCTTTTCCCTTCCTAGTCAAGTACATTTATCAACCCTGTGACTTGCATGTTAAGTTAGAAACTTGAATATATTAAGAGAGGCAATGAATTTTAGGGAATTTCTAGATAGACCGGGGGCAGATCCTGCCCCATTAACTTGAAGAGAATTGCATATTTATAAGTAAGGGCAGGATTTAGTCTATACTGTGTAATGATTTGTTACTTAGAAATACTGTTCCTAAAATTCTATCCAGACAAAGTGAATGCTAGTACAGAAAAATTACAATGCCAAATAACGTATGGCTGAAGATTTTCCCGAGTCCTAACCACAGTCAGCTAAGTGGCTGTTCCCCTTTTATGTAAAACTGACTGTAAAACAGAAAGAAATCCTAATGTAAATCTAGAGGAATAAACTCCTACATTTAGAAAAAGTGAAAATCATTAATCAAACCTAATTTCCATA